TCCTTGTACACATCTCACCAGGCTACATCGAGTGTGAGAAGCAAGAGGTTAGCAACAGTCAGAGAAGGCAGCAGTTTGGGGAACTAAACTGTTTTTGCAAAGGGAAACAATAGCATAATTTCACTGCAAGTACTTCTTAGTTTAGAATCTGTTCCTTTTATGGCAGTGAAGCCAACAGGCATGGAAATGCCCTCCAAGCAACCGGCCCATGATTCTCTCGCCCCTGGAAGCATCGGGAGAAAGGAAATTGCTCATAGATTCTGGAAACAGTGCTGAAAAATTGGCAAGGTTACAAATATAATTGGAAATTAAGAGATTGGAACTGCAGTAACAGAAGCAGGACTGATAATAAAAAAATGCCTCTGGAAGCCACACCATGAATTCAAACATCTTAACATGGTGGGAGGGAAGCTGAATAGAAGAATGGGCTGGAATTTAGATCGTTTAAGAAGCAAAGATTCAAGCAGCTAGAAACCACCAGATACAAAATCCACACCCAGCAGCATCTCCAGGTGAAGGCAGGTGTAATATTTGTAGAGCGATAGAGCTGGTTTGCAAACATATAAATGTACCTTTTCCTTGCAGGGCTTGACCTCTGCGGGGGGGGGGGGATAAATGGTTCTGTACAGCTCCAACTGGTTAGTGCCTGTAATGTCATTAAGAACACTTTTCTCCCAAACTCCAGAGCACTTTTGCTACTGTCAGGCAAAGGATGAACGTATAAACAAATATATGTGCTGCAGCCCCCTCCCTGAAATGTGAAGACGGAAGACTGACACCTCAGCCAGCATTCAGCTTGATATAATGTATGTTTTTCATGCAAATCGTGAAACTAGTAGGAAGCCAGGTTCGGAGGAGGAGGAGGAGGAGAAGGAGGAGAAGAAGAAGAGAGTGCATTAATAGCCAGCCCTCTTTTATACCCCGCCCTTCACTTGGAGTCTCAGAGCGGCTTACAAACTCCTCTCCCTTCCCCTCCCCACAATAGACACCCTGTGAGGTGGGTGGGGCTGAGAGAACTCTGACACAAACTGCTCTTTTTCAAGGACAGCTGTGCCAGAGCTTGTGACTGACCCAAGGTCACATCAGCAGGTGCAAGTAGAGGAGTGGGGACTCAAACCCGGTTCTCCCAGATTAGAGTCCGCACACTTAACCACTACACCAGACTACACTGATACTTCTGTCTAAACATTATTTTTAACTTTGTGCTCCTACTGGACTTTCTTGGTGATCTCCCATTCAAATACTAACCAGGGCAAACCCTGCTTAGCTCTGGAGTTCAGATGAGATCCGGGTAGTTGCTACTCAAGATCCATTAGTTGGAAATGCCATGGATTGAAACTGGAAATCTTCCGCATGTAATCCTTCTTTACCATTGAACGATGGGCCTTCCCTGAACTAGTCCCCCCCCCCATTTCTGTGGCGTATTTATAGAAAAGTTACTTTGTGCCAATTTCGTGACATTTTCCTCGTCAGCATTTTAAAAGCCTCTTGCACATGTTGGTAGGGGAAGTCTTGTGTCTTGGGGACTCTTCCTTGGGGACTCCACCCAAGGCAGACCCCTGCAGTCACAGTTCATCAGCAAGGTTGGGGGAGGGGGGAACCCCTGTTGTTTATACTTAATTATAAAAATGAACCATCAAAGCTTAGAAAATGGGTTTCTTCTTCCATTTACCTGTATTACGAGTCTTATTATATGATAAAAATTACAGATAAAATATATTGAGGGGGATTCTGAAAAATTTCCACTTCATCTCTGTGCCTTCCAGAAAATATGCTTCTTACATGCACAAAAAAGTAATGAGGTGCCAACTTAAGCGCAGAGAGCTTAACTTGTAGAAATGTCAGTGAAATTAATGAGAAGGGCTGTCCTTGCAAATAGCTCCTTTTTGAAGATTTAACTTTCTTGTTAACTGTTACCTTCCCTATCACTCACTGCAAAGCTGCCTGGGATTAAAAACTGGAAAGGAGCGTGCTGTACAGAAATAGTCTCCAACATGCATAATGCTGAACAGAGAGAAATAGATCTTTTTTTAAAAAAAAATAACTGGGCTAAAAATAAAAACCAAATACTTCAGTGCAATTACACTATGCCATCTTGCAGCTCCTCAAACATATGTTGAATTCGCAGGGCCATATGCTCAGTTGGTTTGCTTGTTACAGAGTGTACGGGAGGGAGGAGGAGGAAACAGTAGCTGCCCGTTAATCCCAGTAATCCTCTGAAGAGTGAGCATTGGCCCAAAACTTCCTAGTTGGGCAGAAGCCAAAGAGAATTGCAGCTGAAAACAAGAAGGTGCCCAACTGAGACTGGTAAGAAACTCAAGGTCTGTGTGTAAAAATTGTGAGGGGAGGGGAGAGAAATTCAGCCATGTGACAGCATAGGTATGCTACCATGGAAACGTGCCACATGGTATGAAAAAGACTAACCTGGCTTCTGCTTAAATGGCTAGTTTGTAATGTTTGAGGTGACAGAAACAAGTTACACGGGCAAACAGCTGTCCTTTCCTAATGGGTTTGTGCTAATATGCCTATATTACAGGAAAGCAATGCAGAAGCACATTTTTGGATGATTATTTAAGTCGGTGTCTGAAATTAAGTCTTCTACTTGCCTGGCTTCCTGATGGGACCCGGGTCACTGTTCATGGATCTCCCTAGCATTCTTGCACATCTGTCCTACTAATGTGTGATGCTTTTTCTCCGCTCCTTTTCATTGACACTGCATTTCCTCAACTCCCTGCTTACTCAGTCTTTGCTTACTTTACCATTATGCTTCCTTGATGATCTATAACTCCTTCTAGACTCTTCTCTTGGGTCCACTGCCAGCTCTGCCTCTTGGGTCCTCCTTTCCCCTTTTGTTTTCCTGCCCCATGCAATATATTTCTTTCATCATCCTGACCCCAGTCTTCCTGTTATTGTTGCTGTGTCCCCCACATGCCAACTACCAGTCCTTACGCTCCATATGCCATACTGGCCATGTCTTTATTTGTTTATTGTAAACTGTAAATGTGCGAACTGGTCAACAATGGCTTGCATGGCAATTAATGTCTTAAAATATGTGAAACTGTAGAACAGTATGAAAATCCTTGAATTTCTGTTTCTGTATGGAAGCGGCCTTGTTTGTGAAAGTTCTATCACTGACATTTCCAAGCTGAACAGTTAGGATTTTTGTGACTGCTCCAGGCCATCACAGCAATTCAGCCAATATTTCAAGATGGGGAAGCTTATAGATCAGTAGTTTTTACATACCTTCATGGTCCATTGCATACTAACTGTCACAGAACAAAAATGATCCAATGAAATAACAACCTTAACTGGCATGTGTGTGGCGATTTGGCCAGGTATTAGCAACTTCATTATTTTCTGGTCCCAAGGGCATTGCTTCCCACTCAGTTCTGTTCATCTTCTTATCCTAATACACCATTGTCCTATTGGTGAAGCTACCTTACATAGATTTCCTATAATGTACAATATGCGAGGATTAATATAACTACATGGTTCAGTAGGTACTTCCTTTTCCCTGTGATTGTGACATAAAGGTAAAGGTAAAGGTTCCCTTGCTCGAAAGCCAGTCGAATCCGACTCTAGGGTTGCGGTGCTCATCTCCGTTTCAAAGCTGAAGAGCCAGCGCTGTCCGAAGACGTTTCCGTGGTCATGTGGCCGGCATGACTAAACACCAAGGCGCACTGAACAATGTTACCTTCCCACTGAAGTGGTACCTATTTATCTACTTGCAATTTCTTGCTTTCGAACTACTAGGTTGGAAGGAGCTGGAACTAGAGATGGGAGCTCACTCCGTCATGCGGCACCCAGGTCTCGAACTGCTGAACTACTGACCTTCCACAACCTGCATTTCAGCGTCTTAACCACTTGAGCCACCGCAGCTTGTGACAGATTGTGACATAGCTTTATATAAAATGCTTACCAAATATCTTTGTCGTTCTCATATGGCCTAGAGGTCTGGTATATTCTACCACATGCCGGTGATGCTTAATATGCCTTTTTTATTCTATAGAAGAGGAACATAATCCTTTTCATTTTGCAAATACTTTGTGTGCCTTTACTGTCAATGCATTTATGTTATGTAATGCCCAGCATGCATTGTTGGTAACATTTAGAAACTGATGTAGGCATGATGAGGCACAGTTTTATTTCACTGAAAACAGTTCTCTTTTATGAAAGGTGAACACCTAACATCAGGTTCTCTTCCTACAAAAATGTACGAGGAAATGAAATCATAATGAATCAGGTAACCTGCTGGTCATCTTTATTCACTCTCCCTGTTACAAATATGAAATTTGAGTGGTACGTTTTTCTTTGATTACTTCTGTAAAGGCAGCTTCTGTAAGCTTTTATATAAAAAGGGATAACAAAAGCAGGTCTGGTCACTGTTCACGAATGTGAAATAGCTCATCTTATATAAAGCTGGGGAAAGAAACTAGGAAGGCACTGGAAGCCTAATAATGCCGATGGATCCTTAGCCACAACCAGTTACCCCAGACAACCTTATGTATGCAGATGACGCAACAACAACCCTTTGTGATTTGCACCAGTTGGTGTGCTCTTACAAAAATACCCGTATTTTGTTCGGAGTCCTGGTTGGAAAATCAATTGTTCATCTTGCCCAGTGAATTGTGGATGGCATACACTGACGATGGCAGAGGTGAAAAGAATGAGGTAATGCAAACAGGAAGAAGAATAGGAAGAAGAAGAAGAGACTTGATTTATACCCCGCCCTTCATTACCCGACAGAGTCTCAGAGCAGCTTACAATTCCTTTCTGTTCCCCTCCCCAGACACCTGTGAGGTATGTGGGACTGAGAGAGCTCTTTTGAGGACTGACCTTGAGAGAACAGCTCTGAAAGAACTTGTGACTGACCCAAAGTCACAACAGCAGCTGCATGTGGAGGAGTGGGGAATCAAACCCGGTTCTCCCAGATTAGAGTCCATGCTCCTAACCACCACACCAAACTGGAACATTCTGAGGCTGAATGCTCACTAGCAGATCTATGCAGGAGAAACCTGACTTGTTGAGATTGTGAACGTCTTTGTCTTAGGGACAGCAAAAGAAGTGTCCTCATCAGCCAGAGGATTCTTTCTACAGCAGAGGGCAGTGATCACACAGTTACAGAACTGGACGGGGGTGGGTGGGTGGAGGGTGGAAAGCGAGATCAGCATGCAGAATTAGAAGCAAGTTTGGGCATCTCTTCCTTTAAAAAACAGATCAAATGGTCAGAAGTACTCCTGGGCATCCAGCAAGACATAGGCCGTCTGAACATTAGCCACATGAATGCCTTGATGATGAATTCACTGTATCTTGCATTGGTCTGCTATCACTGTAATTCTTCACAAACACTCTGTCTTGGCCTATCAGATAACAAAGGCTGTGTAACATTTCAAAGCAACTGACCATCACCCCTCCCCGAGGCCCGCAGGCTGATTCCTCGGTGCAAGCCACTGGCAGATAAGTAATTGATAAAATTGTAATTCATTGTCTGAATTTTTTTAAAGATTAGTCTTATTGCCATGATTGGTTCATGAATGATGAGGGTCATTAGCAGCTTGCTGTTCTGATAAAATAAAAAGGGAGGCAGACTTTTTGGTAACCAGCTGAACACAAGCATCATCCCTTAATTCTAGTTAATTGTTAAGCATAATTGTTATGTTTTAAGCATACTTGTGTTTTAAGTTAAAAAATAACTTTGATTGTGTTTGTTTGTGTCCTTTATTAAGTTTATATCTCTGGTACCTGGTATTAGAAGAAGAAGAGAAGAAGAGAAGAGATTGGATTTATACCCCGCCCTTCACTCGGAGTCTCAGAGCGGCTTACAAACTCCTTTCCCTTCCCCTCCCCACAACAGGCACCCTGTGAGGTGGGTGGGGCTGAGAGAACTCTGACACAAACTGCTCTTTTTCAAGGACAGCTGTGCCAGAGCTTGTGACTGACCCAAGGTCACATCAGCAGGTGCAAGCGGAGGAGTGGGGAATCAAACCTGGTTCTCCCAGATTAGAGTCCGCGCACTTAATCACTACACCATACTGGCACACGTGGTCCGTCCCGACGAAGTCTGATTTATGTCAGATCTGGCCCTCGTAACAATTGAGTTTGACACCCCTGCCTTAGAGAGTGTAAGAACACCTCCTCCCTTTACTCATCACATCATTCCTCTTTAAACAGGTGACTAGGGATTTTTATATTAAAAAGACACACCAAGACGCATTATATCTGAGCACATTATGCAGATGCAAAATATAGTGTGGCTTATTCCTTGGATCCTTCTTCAGTCTTGATTCAGCCATCAGTTCCCTTATAGAAGCCAATAACTTTTTGCCTCCCACACGCCCTGTTTTATTACAGAGAGATAAAACTGGCCTATCTTACAGAAGTCATTAAAAGAATTAAGAAAATGTACATGGAGCACTTCAATCACTTAGGAAGGGTACTATAAACGCCAAGTGTTATTATAGTATTGAAAGCTAGAGCAACATAGCCAAGTTACCTGTTTGTTCATTAAGATGTAAATCACAGTGTTGTAGAGAGCAGACATTTTGGCAAAGAAGGCTGGGATGGTCAAGAAGACAGGGCTGACATCAGAGTCTTGGTGCGTGAAGATTCAGAAAGCCACACTGGGCATACGGGACCCAGGAAATGAGGAAGAAAGTGACCATGATGACAACCATGCAGGTGACTTCTCGGTTAGCTTGCTGAGTGGTGGCAGGCTCCTACAGCTGAGATGCAGCTTGACTGTGACATGACATGACAACAGTGAACTCTTAACTACTGGCACAGCTGAGAAGGGGCCAAAAAACCTCCAGGGGCCACAAAAATTGAAAGTTGGTTTTTATGTCTCAGAAGTGAACCCCAACTGCACAGTTCAAATTTTCAGAATCCCAGTACTTTTCAATGTTAAGACCCTTTGCACTGGACTGAAATCGATAGATTTCACCTATAATGGTGAGCAGGGAGCGGGTGTGTGTGACCTTTTTTATAGCATCACCTACCTCTTTAACAGTACAGACAAGGAGTCTGTAGCAGAAGACGACAATAGTCACTGATGTCACAAAATGTAACATGAACACAAAAATGTCAAAGGACTTTGGACTTCTGGGTTTGGTGTACAATAACATTCTGAAATGTATCAACACATAAACATAAAAGTATTAGCAGACAGGAGATTGTCCTCCACATGGAACAATCCATGCACTATCATTGGAACATTGTAATTCCAAACATTTACTAGCTATTCATGCCAAGGGCTTAAGGCATATCTACGTTGACGATCCCAAGAAAGGAGAATGGTCAAGACAAGACCATGATCAAGGTGAAACCCAGCCCAATGAGGAAATTGTTCATGAGCTTGCGGACCACTTTCCCACAGCCAGAACTACCAAAGACCACTAGGCTATTTCACCTGTAAGAGAACTGAACTGTGTGCATCAACAAGAGAAGGATGGAGAACATGTGAAAAAGATGCTTGACTAAAGAATGAAAATGATACTTCTTTCTTTCTTTCCATTGTCTCGTATTTTGATAAGTACAAGAATAAGTTACATTTAAAGCTTTAGGAATGGTTAAGAGTTTACACATTCAGAACAGGGTTGGAAGGTACAAGTACTGAAAGATATTATTGAGCTTCACCACACATTCCTTTAGTCTACAGCATCTTACTATGTCACAGCATAACCATCACAAGTTCCCCCATTCTGACATTTAAACCACACGCAATGGCAGCAGATCTGCTGGACTGGCTGTAGATCTGCTTCATTTATGTCAGAAATGGACATTTCCAGCTGACTAAGCAAAAGGTGAAGGAGCATGGGGATGATGTAAAGTAAACCATCGCATGTCAGTGGCATAATGCAGCAAGATGAAGAGGAGGAGGAACAAGGTTCTGAAGACTCTTCTACATGCTCCATTTTTTTAAAAAAAAGTACCCTGCCACCACCTCCCCCTCAAACACACTTTAGATGTAAATTGATGGGCATATACTTAAATGCACAGTGATCCTTCAGTGGCATCTAGTTTGGCTGTAACAGAAAAGTGGCATCAAGAGGTGGTAAGCTGTGAGCAGAGGAAGAGTCTGCACTCGTCCTCCATATACCCCTTCTGCTCACATCAGACCACCCACTTTCTGCATAATTGGGGGAGATGTGACAAAGCTTTGTCGCTGACACATGTAGTTTGAGCTTCGTGCACATTCCGCATTTGTTTTGATTTTTTAAAAAGGATGTTCCAGTTTTCTACCATTGTGAATACTCTCATCTCTCAGTCCTTGGAGAGCAGGTTGAATGCAGAACATTCTTCTCAGCAATGGACACTTGAGCAGTATGTGTTTCAGTAATGTCATTCTCAAGCAAGAGTTTATTTTCACTGATGACTGCCTGTAACTAATCAGCAACCTGGGGATAGACACTTTTTAGAAGCTTTGCTTCTTCATAAAGCCCACAGTGGGGGTTGTATGAAAAGGACACTGCCTGAACTTTGCCCAGAGTGGAAGCGTGAAGGGAATAAAACTTGGATTTCTGCCTTTCTTGGTCACGGATAAAGTTGGCCTAAAGAGAATGAGCCAGTTTGCTAGTTCTTTTTGGTTTATTCTTGTTTATTTTGTTTCAAATGAGATCTTCTTTGTCCTGAAGACTTGCAGGCCAAGTTAAACTAGAACAGCACAAAATCCAAATAATTAAATGATGGGTGTTGAAAGTTACTGGAGTGCAGAAGGATTTTTCCTCAGCTTTTTGCTAATGACAATTTAATTGCTGATTCCTGATATTTGTCACTTTATCTAAGCTGTAAAAAGATTGCAAGAAATATCTCCTAAAGCTCTCTTGAAGTCCTCCATCCAAACCAAAGAAAGCTCACAATTGTAATCACCACACGGAGAATCAGAGAAGTACACAAAGCTGTGTATTTTTTAGAAATTGCATTGCATTTCTGTTTAGCCTCACGGAACCATTTGTCAACATATCCAATAACTTGATGCCCAACCCCTTCCACAAACATCTTCATGCAAGATTAACCACATAGTTAATCTACCTAAATTACAAGTTGTAAATAGGATCTTCAAATGAAGTCAGAAGGACTTCCTGGAAACCTGACACTGACAGATCTAAAATATGCATATATGCTTCACAGTAAATTCATAGTAGCATCAGGTCATTTCTGGCGGAAAAGCCCTTGCTGTCCATTACAGCGTTGCTTTGTGTTGCCCTGAAAATGAAATAACCACTCATGGATGTGAAAGAACCACTCATGAAGAGCCTGGCTATGGTCAAATTTAAGAGCATGTAGTTTAGTGGTGTTCTAAGTTTCTTGTGCTGGACAGTGACACAAGAAACCTAGCACAGTTCCGCAGAGCCTGCAAGACGGAGCTCTTCCGCCAGGCTTTCGAATAGGAGCCGCCACCACCACCAGTGTTCCACCAACGCACCAGTGTACCACCAACGCCCCAGAATCTCTGTATATTGTTACGATATGAGCCTATGTTTGTATTTCTGTATGGTGCTAATGCTGTGTTGGTCTCAGGTCTGTGTATTTATGCATTTGGGACACAGGGATAAATGCTGTGCTTGCTGCTGCAATTGTATGGTCTGCTTTGCATCTCATACTCGCCCATGGATGGGCAAGGCTGGTGCTACCAGCTGCAGATCACGTGCCTCCCTGGAATTTCCCAGCATGCCTCAGGACAGAGAAGACCAGCGCCATTACCCTTTGTTTGGGACACCTTGGAGAACGACTGCTTTCCCACCATTACTGACCTGTGGGAACTACCGTAACCCATCCACTTATCTGGCTTTGGCATCACAAAGGAAACTGACTTTATTGCTCTAAAGGACCAGGCACATCTACTTCAAAGGGTACCCATGGAAACGGCATTCCACAAGTGACCACATGGCTCTCGTTTGATGTAGAATAGGAAAATCTGCATACTGCCCCCTTGCTCCTTCTAGGACGTCACCCCCTGCCCAAACCTATAGTTTAGGAGAGGAGGACAAACCTAGGATTTTATGGCCCTTAGGACAGCCCAGGAAAAGGCAGCTTTAAAAGGAGAAGACGCAGCCATTGCTCTCTCTCTTGCGCCATGGATCTCTTGCTCTTGCTTTTTGCCTGCTTGGTTGCTCTCGTTCCCGGGAATCATGATTCCAGGAACGCGCACGTGGTCTGGCTTATCCAGGCCGGGCATCTGCAGAGCCACCTGCCTCTCCTTGGCTGCCTTTCTTGGAAAGAGGAAATTTCTCCTTTTCATTGGATACCAGATGAGTATGAGTTTTCCCCCCCTTTTAACCCACTCATTGTATAGCTTTGATATGTTATCCTCTATGCTTATTGCTTTCTATAAACTGTGTAAACTAAGGATATATTGTGAGACTGATCAAATGCATCTATTTGGAGTGCTTTAGTATTGCTTAGTAAAGACAACCATTCATTCAGAATGCTAGCGTGTTGTTCATTCCTAGAGATGGGCTTGCTTGTTCTGATTAAAATCTCTGTATATATTGACCTACCCGATCTCACCCGGAACTATTCTCAAAACAGAACAGTTTCGATAACACCTGATTTTGATCAGGCCTGCTGTGGCCTGAGTTGCTTTTGAGTAGGGGTACTATGTATCTTTTCAAGTGCT